AGACAAGGGGCCTCGGTTTCCTCATATAAAATGAGAACTTGGGGCAAGACAGTTTCTAACATTTTATGAATCTAAAAATAAAAATATTTACAATCCATTTTTTTAATTGACCCTAATTTTTTAATCTTTTTTTATCTTTATTGTTGAAAGTATTACAGATGTCCCCTTTTACCTCCATTGGCCCCCTCCATTGCGCTCCCTCCCCCGTTCCAGGCCTTCACCACACTATATTATTGTCTGTGACAATGGGTTATGTGTATATGCATACAAGTTCTTTGGTTTCCTCACCTAAAGTGAGAGCTTTGGGCAAGACAGTTTCTAAGATTCTTTTCAGCACTAACATTTCCTGAGTCTAAAAATAAAAATATTTTCAATCCATTTTACGTATTAGAAACTTTTCTATTTTGAGGGGATGCACACTTGGACATAGCGGCTGTTTCAAGGCCACCCCCCCGCCCCTCATACCTTGGGTACATCCAGTGCCTGTGCCATCAGCCTCCCTCCAGGCTCCGGTCACAGTGTCTTAGCCAGGGTGGCACAACACAATCACCAGAGGAGCTTTCCAAGGCGGCACATGGCCCGTACCTCCACAAACAAATGGCATAGCCAGGGACGTGGACAGAGCTGTCCTATTAATAAATGCGACTCTGCAATGTGCTGCCAGCGCAAAGTCAGATCTAGTGGGAAACAAGTCTGCGCCTTCGAGGTGGTGCTGCTGTGACTTGACTAACTACATTTAGAACTTGGCCCTACGAGGCCCATTTGGGCAGCTTGTCTAGCTGAAGAGCCCTCAGGTCTAAAGCTCACAGCTCTTTCAAATGAATTCTTGGCATTGTAAGAGCTTCCCATACTGAAACATCTCCCAGTGCTTTACAAATATGAATTTTTTCATTTTATGAAAAAAAAATGTCATTATAAACATTGCTAGGTAGGGCAGAATCAGGGCCTGAGATTTCTCCTGGGGTGTACTTACCTCCATTGGCACCCTCCACCAGCTCCCCCCACCCCTCCAGGCCTCACCACACTATTGGTCAGGAGTACTCCGGGGTGCTTTGATTTTAACATGTGAAGGGACATTAGTGTGACCTTCCACGCACTTACTAATTACAGATGGGAACACACATACACACACACCAGAAAAAGGAGAAAAAGAAAAAAAAACACATTTCACATTAGTCATACTACATTTTTGCAATCTTCTTCCATAATCAAGTTCATAGTTCATTTAAAGAGATTCATTCTTATACCAGCTAAGATATACATGTCACTTTTCCATGGCCTCAAGTAGTAGGGATTATGCCTGTTATAATTTTGAGGATCTACTTTGCTTTGGGGAAGCAGAGGGAAAGAGAACTTTGAATGGAAGCAAACTTGTCCTTGGGTGAGGATTTAAAAAATTAAAAATAATCTAACTTAATTCTAAGACAGATAAAGAATATTTACTGCTGATTTAAATTATTTGAAATTTGATGAGACTTGTTGTATGCCCCCGAGTATGATGTTTTTCTATATACCCCATGTTCACTTCAAAAGAACGTGTATACTGCAGTTTTAGCTATAGCCTTAGAGATAGTATTTTATACACATATTTTGATTTGATTTGACCTATCTGTACATTCTAACAGTTAGTGAGAGAGATGTGCTAAAGTCTGCAACTAGTTATAGAGTTGCCGCTCTCTTTCATTTGGTTAATTTTTGACTGTGCATTTTGAAGCCATGGTACAGTCACGCTTAGCATTGTTTCATCTTCCTGTTGAGTCAACCCTTTATCATTACAAAATATCTTTCATTATCTCTTCCACTGCTCTGCCTGAAAGTCAACTTTGAATAATATAAATATAGACATAGCAGCTTTCTTCTGGTTAGTGTAGTATATGTTTTTCCATGCTTTTGAACTCTATTATGTCTTAATTTCATCAGTGGTCCTTGTAAATTGCATGTAGTTTAGCTTTTTCTAATGTTTCTCAAATGTGACAATTTTCATTTTTTACATTGGTGTGTTTAGTCCATATACATTTAATATAGTTACTGATAGAGTTGAATTTATGTCTATTATTTTGCTATATTTTCTCTGTTCCATCTGTTCTTTGTTCCTATAGTTCTTCTTTCTACATTCTGTGTATTAATCAAGTCTTTTACTTATTCTATTATATCCTATCTATTAGCTATTTTATTATACATTCTGGTATAATCCTTATGGGGTAAGACTAAAATTGCAATATACTTTCTATTCTTTTATCATATACTTTGTTTTGTCACATTTACCACTGCCCAAACAACACAAGAAGTGTAAAGAACTTATCTTCATTTTTTTCTTCTCATGTCTCTTGTGCTGTTGTCATACATATTACTTTTACTGATGTTATGAATTGCAAAAGACTTTATTGTTTGAAGTTAATATTCATTGATGCTTACTCACATACTGCCTTTTACAATAGACTTCATTCCTTTCTTCATCTGGGTCATTTTCCCTCGACAGGAAGAACTCTCATGGTGTTTCTTGCAGTGTGAGCCTGCTGCTGACAAAGTCTTTCATTTTGTCTGAAAATATATTTATTTTGCTTTTATTTTTTTCAGAATTATTTTGCTAGGCATGGCATTTTAGGTTGACTTTTACAGATGTCGTTCTATTTTTTTGTAGCTTACATTGTTTCCAGTAGAATTTGGCTGTTAATTGTAATCTACTTTTTTCTCTCTGACTGCTTTTAAAGATTTTTCTCTTTGGATTTTGGCAGTTTGACTATAGTTTGCTAGGTATGGTTTTCTTTTTATTTTTTTCTGCTTGGCATTCACTCAGCTTCTTGTATTAGTGGGGTAAAGTCTTTTTGTCAGATTTGAAAAATTCTCAGTCAGTATTTCTTCAAGTATTGTCTCTGTTCCACTTTCTTCTTTTTGGGACTGTAGTATAGCTATGTTGACCTTTTGATGTATCCTTATTAATTTTATTTTCATTCTGTTTTATTCTTTTTTATTTATCTTCTTTTTTATATTGTCTTTCAAATTGCACATTTTCTGTTATCATGTCTTTGAGTCTACTAGTCTTTCATTCTGCTTTTAAATCTACTCAATGAGCCCCTAATTTCAGATACTGTGTTTTACAGTTCTAGATTGTCTATTTGGTTCTTTTTTTATAGATTCCGATTGTTTATGTTGTCATACATTTTCCTCTTTTCTTCTATTTTTAACAATATTTATAGATGTTTGACATGTTTAAATGCTAACTCCAACATCTGGATTATCTCTTGGTCTGGCTCTTTTATCTTGATTATTGATCACTTTTCATGCTATTTTGCATACCAGACATTTCTAAGACACTGTAGGCACTTTGACTTGTTTTCTTCCTCTCAGGAATGTTAAGTGTGTCCTGGTAGACAGTTAAATGATAAGCCAATCACCTTGATCTTGTCAAGGCTTAGTTCTCGGCTTTGTCAATGTAGGGCTTAGGTTTTAGTTTTACCCATACTCTTGGGGCATTGTCCTGACAACTAAAATGATGCCTTCCTGCTGTTTCCACTAAAATGTCAAGGTGGTTTTTTTTAAAGGACTCTCCAATCTGTCTGAATTTTGACCCCAAATTCTGTTTTTCCAGCTCCGGGCAGCCTCTGAATCTTTGCTCAGCTCCCAAACCTCACAGCTGTTCTCTGCTAAGCCTCTCAGAGCTGCACCCTATGCCTGAAGTTGAAGATTAGGCCAAGGATTCAAGGGGATTATATACTAAGATTTGGAGTGGCTTCTCCCCAGTAAATTGGCTGCCTTTTCTCTGGGACCATGCTCTCTAATCCCAATCACGTTAGCAGCTTAACATTTCAATCTTTGTCTTCTTCCCTTAACAAGACCAAAATTCTCTGCTTCTGCAACATGTCCTTGCTCTGCAGATTGGAAACTACTGTCAGGGAGAAAACATCATGAATGTGAGGATCACCTCTTATCCTCTCCTTCTCACAAGGATTACAGCTATCCATTGGCTGCAAATAGGTATTTTACGTATTTCCTTCCGCTTTTTTCATGTTTATAACAATCGGGTAAGTTCGAGACCAGCTAAGAGGAGTCTCCTCTCTTAGGTGTTAGCCTCTTAGCCTCCACTCTCTGCTTCGTTTCTGAGCTGTTTGCCTTGTGCATGTAGTCCTTTGTAACTGGTAGATGCCTTGTGGAGAAGACTGCACTCAAACTCTCAGGCTCACCTTTTTTTTAATATATTTGTATTGGAATGACTCGGGGACAGTGATTTAGGTCACAAGGCAAGGTGTAAAGTGAGCTAGTCCCACAGGGACAAAATTGGGGGCTCCATTCCTGTGAATTCCCTAGACTAGGGTCCGCTCCCCAGACACAGAGGCGACAATGGTGGCAGATGGTCTGCAGTGAGTCTAGGAAGAAGAAAGAATTTTCACAGAATCCGAGCTTCGGTTGGAAACGTGAAGAGTTCTGGGGGTGGAGGAGGTGGCTGGTTGCACACACTGTGGGTGGACTTCATGCCAAAGAACTCTCCTCTCTGTGTATTACCAGTCGACTTATCTCACATGCATGTCATCACATTAAACAAGGCAAAGTGCAGAAGGAAGCGGCAGGAGTAAGGGAAAAGGTTGGTCTTTCTTACAGAAGCCACATCTTCCTAAGAGTAAGAAAATGGATCTATGTAATGTGTAACTGACTGAAAACGCTAAAGAGCCCAGAACAGTGCGACCCTCCAAGTCCTGAATCCCTCCGCGAGATTATGCTAATTTGAGAGTCACCGCCTACCTGTGACGTCAACTTGAACCAGCATAAAAGTCAAGGAGGACCGGGAGCTCTGCCAGTGGCCCTGGGACAGGCACCGTGGAAGCTGCAGCGCGCCCAGTGGAGCTGGTCCAGCGCCCACTGTTCTGAGGGTCTGTGCACGGACTGAGGAGCACAGCGGGTTGCGGGAGATTTGCAAGTCCATAGCTGAGAGCGGAAGACGTGAAGGTCTCAGGTGGTATAGCAGAAGGCAGGTCGTGACCCAGAACGAGCGCCCGCATACCCTTATGGCCCAGAAAGGGAAGCAGCCACAGAGGGCCCCAGTGGCACGCGAGGCTCCCCCACCAGAGGAGGAGAATCCCCGGGTGAGATGTTGGAAATGTGGGGCCTTTGGGCACAAGGCAAGCAGCCTCACGTGTCCCATGAAGCGTCGGAGTGGGGCCCTAAGCCCCCATAACCTGGACTCCAATAAGATGGAGAGCCAGAATCCTTGGACTCCCAGGGACCTGAGGAACCGAGGGCCCTTCAGCAAGGCTGCTGGGTTGACCCAGCAGAGAGTTCGCAGGCATGAAGAACAGAGACAGGCTCTGCGCCAGAGACGACCCGGGAGAGCCCCCGAAGGGCACCAGCAAAACTGGAAGGACAAGCCGGAATCCTGTGACTATGTGAGGGTGAGATGCTGGAACTGCAGGGCCTTTGGGCACAAGGCAAGCAGGTGTCCCAGGAATCATTGGAATAGGTCCCCAGCCCCCCAGGCCATGGGCGCCAATAAGACGAAGGAGAACCTGAAACCATGGAATCCCCAGGTCCAGCTGAACCCAGGACCCTTTCGCAGGGCTGATAGGGTGAATGAGCAGAGAGCATGGCATGAAGAACAGAGACAGGCTCCTTGCTGGAGACTTCCCTGGAGACCCACATGCAGGCCCCAGCAAAACTGGAAGGAAGAGACAGAAACCTGTGACTATGTAAGGGATCCACACATGCAGAGACCTGATCACAACACCAAGAGGAAATACGTAAGAGACCCTGATCTCACCCCTTGGGCACCGAAAAGGAAACGTGTCATGACATCCTCGGCACCTCCCGTCGAAGGTGTTGTGAGAAGTGCCTGCTTACCGCCTGTACCAAAGAATGGACAGGAAGGGCCTGTCACAGACTCCCCTCATGCAGAAGGCACACACTTGGTCCAGGATCCCACCCACAGCATCCATGAGGGGGACAATAGGCCCCATTCTGCCTTCAGCAACCAGGGCCTGGACCAAGCCCTCATCCACCAGCCACAGGCCAAGTCCCCTGACAGGAACTCACACAGCATCCAACATGCTGCTGCACACAGTGTGGGCCAGGACTCTGATTTCATCATCAAGGTACCTGGCAAGAGAGCTGCCCAGACCTCCAGCCAAACCTGCCAGATGCCCACAAAGAAACCCAGACTCAGCCCTAGCCTGAATAGCACCCAGAGACCAGACCTCCTACCTCAGCACCAGGGCCCTCCCATCAAGACTCTCCAGCCCTGCCAGTTCCCACCAATTCTTGAGGTTCTAGGCCAGTCCCTCAGAAATGTCTTCACAACATTAGACAAAGGCCAGTGGAGCTCCATGTGCCTGACACCTCCGTCCCTCCCTCCTGCTCAGATCCCTCCCACCACTGAGAAGTCAGAGGCGCTCTGTCCCTGTGTCCCCTTGAGTGTCCTCCTTGAGGCCCTTCAGCTTTCCTCTTCCTCTGAAGAACGTGCTGGCCAGTGAGACACTCCATGTTAGGGAAGACATGTTCTTCAGTCCCAGGCCACCTGGAGGTGCCTGAGGAACTGGAGAAGGAAGATCACCTGGAGCAAATGTTTCTGGGGAACCAGAGCTTCCCTTCTGTGCTGTGTGGACAGATGGTGGGAACTCTGAGCATGCTTGGGGCACACAGGCCCAGTTATTGGACTTTTAATGTAGGTAGGTGTAGTGATATTTCAAGTGATACTTTTATAATAAACTGTAGTTTGTGCTTATCAAACTGGTAAGGGAAGTAGAGTTTTAGAAATTTTTAGCCATTGTATGTAAAATTAAGTTAAGTTGCAATAATTGCCCTTAAAATCTAATGGAAAGGAGAAGCTCTGTAATGATTCTGTATCAGGTGTGCACCTGTCTGCTTTGGGAAACCTGGGGCAGGGCCCCCTGTGTGGTCTGTAGATTTGAAGCAGTGCCTGTGGTCCTGAAGTGAGACGGTTTCACTGTGCTCTGTTATTTTAATGGAAATCAGGATGGGGACCCTTCCCATTACTTTGCACCTTTTGTTTATGGAATGTCATATTAAAGTTCTGTTTTAAGTATAGTTTGTGTTTGATACCAATAAATTCTGCAAAATAGGTCAAAAAATAAAATAAAATATATTTGTATTGATTTCAGAGAGGAAGAGAGAGGGAAGAAGAGATAGAAACATCAATGTTGAGAGAGAACCATTGATTGGCTGCCTCCTACGGGCCCCCAATGAGGATAGAGCCCACAACCGGGGCATGCGCCCTGACTGGGAATTGAACAGTGACCTCCTGGTTCACGGGCCTATGCTTAACCACGGAGCCACACTGGCCAGGCTCAGGCTTACTTTTTTTTTAAGTTTTTGTTTATTTATTTGGTTGGGGTTTTTTATTGCTTAAAGTATTACAAAGAGTATTACATATGTCTCCTTTCCCCCCCTCCCTTGACAGTCCCCCGAAAGTGCCTTCATAGTCTTGTTCTCCAGTTTTTGTCTTCCCCACCCAACAGACTGCCCCAAGCTCCACGACACCACTTTTTCTTGGTTTCTACGCCTCGTATAAGCAAATGCTCTTAGGAGATAAAATTGTGATACATTGAGGGCTTATGATGGATGTTCTTTTTCTATTGGATCTTAGCCCCATACTTCTGGTAACTTTGGTTGCTTTCCAATACTTTCAGAGAGCTGCTTTTTGCTTCCTTTTGTGCTTTAATTCAACTTTTATCATTCTCAGCAGAAGAGTTAGTCGGATATATTACTTTGTCATTGAAAAAAATCCCACATTTTCACTTTAACTTTCTGCCAGAACCATTTTCTAGTTCTGGCCAGAAAGTTAAAAAAAGTTAAAAATCAAATCAAGGAAAGAGATGATGCGATAGGGTTTTCTAAGCTTTGTCACCTTGTTATTTTTGAATCCCCTCCTACATCATTTATACCAAGTTCCACCTATAATATAGTTCGTTGGTGCAAGTAATTTCAAAGCATTTTAGTCAAATTAATCTCCCCGGTGAAATAGTCTTAGTTAATAAATAACACATAAAAAGCAATCGCTATTTGCCAGAACCATAAATTTTAAGTTAATTTTATGGCTGTTGAAGAGCAGAATGTTACTCCAGGTAGTAGACTCCACACTGCCAGTCTTCAGGGCCACAGCCACCTCCTGTGGAATTAAATGGACCTGGATAAGCCTCATCAAACGTGGCTCTTGCGTTCTTTCTCTACATTAGCAGCAGACCCTTGTGTGGTTCCTCAGGCTACAAGACAGAGGGAATATGCTTTTCTAGCCAGGAAAAATAATTTAAACTCAAATATTACAAATGTGTGCAAACTAAATATCAGCAGGAATAAAGAAGATAAGCAGGCTGAATTTTCATAGTGTTACACCAAATTGTCTATTTGGTTTAAAGATTAAAGGTCACAACTGATGGCACAAATGATAAAAGTGTGCCTGAGTTTTGCGAGTATACTGGGAGAAAATAGAAAGTAAAGCAATTCAGGATATCACATGAAAATGCAGGTAGACATCAAAAAAGGGGAGACTCTTGAGAGAAGGTGGTGAAATTAGTATTTGAAAGTAGAAGTGTAAGGAAAATGCCAACTATGTTTCTAATCATTTATGAAGAGAAAATGAAGGGGGAAAGTTCTTCTAAATGAGGGGGGAGACTCAAAATCCAATGATAAGTAATAACTAAAAAAGTCACCAGTAGCACTCCTCTCACAAAACTCTCCCCAGATAAAGTCTTATTCTTCAACCTAGAATTCAGGTCTGCATTATTTGAACAAAGTGTTAGTACACACATACACACGCATATACGCATAACACATTTTTAATATATATTTATTGATTTCAGAGAGGGTGGGAAAGGGAGAGAGAGATAGGAACATCAATGATGAGAATCATTGATCAACTGCCTCTTGCACACCCCACACTGGGGATCAAGCCCGCAACCCAGGCATGTGCCCTGACCAGGAATCCAACCTTGACTTCCTGGTTCATAGGTCGACTCTTAACCCCTGAGCCATGTTGGTTGGGCTCAGCAATTTTTAAAAATTGTGTCCGAGACTTTTGAATCATGTGCCGCCACGAGTAGGAAGAGGGTTGCATAATATTTCTAATGCATAGCAGATGAGGTATAAATGTATAATTGGACAAGTTTCATGGGAAGAAAAAAGTAAAAACTTTTGAAGAAAGGGAAATTATTCTTTTCTCAATCAGCAGTGCTTTTGAAGTTACTGAAGTGAGCAGTTCTGGGATTTGAGCAAGTTTTTCACTGGGTTGCTTGCCTTATGATAGGAAAAAAGCATCATTGTTGAAATATTTATTTGCATGTAAATCTTGGTTTAGAGATGTCTCTCCTGACTTAGTACATTTCAGTGATGCTATTGAAAGGAAATTAAGACTAAATTTTCAAGCAGACTCTGTGGCATAGGTGGAAGAAATAAACCATGCACATTTTGCACGATAGAACCTCCATTATTTTGGCAGTGAGGCTGTGCGCATTATTCCCGTTACAATGTTATTCGGGAAATTGCCTATTTGATTATTTCTCGAAATAGGGTATTAAAGTTGTGGAAGGAGACAGTGCTCATTGACTAAGAAAATAAGCCCATGGGGAGAAGGGCTAATGTTCATTACCAGAAACATCCTTCTGAATTTGATTCTTTGAAAACACAGAAAAAGATTCAAAAAAACCAAATTGCTTTTGTGTAAAAGCTGTTGAATATGAGAATATCAAATACTCTCAAAAAAAAGAAAGAAACCAAGTTAGTGGCTCATGCTAAAATGTTAGCTACCATATCTTCCTTCTTACCTTTTCTTCCAGTCCCCTCCAAACACTGATGACGGCAAGACAAAAGAAGCAAGTGGTAAAGAGTCAGTGACAAGGACCAACTGAATTGTGTAGAGAAGGTCACTTCATTGAGAGATGTAGGAAATTTATATAACATTCTACCACAGCTACTTTAATTTAATTGATTTGTCTTTCTACAGAGAATATGTCTGTAAATTTACTACCCCTCAGTATAACCGCTGATGATAATGATAGTTAACACATAGTACTTGTATGTGTGTCAGCTTTTGTTCTAAGTTATACAGGTTGGGGCAAAAGTAGGTTTCCAGTTGCGAGTATGTGTAACACAGTACTATTCATTAATTATTGTATTATTTTCCATATGAACAACTGTAAACCTACTTTTACTCCACCCTGTGTAAATGTTATGTGCACATATACTATATAATCTTTATATTATGTATACATATATGTACATACACACACATGAACTCATTTCATTTTCTTAGTAATCCTACGAAAGGGAATAGATATTATTATCCCAATTTTCCAATTGTGCAAACAAGCACACAAAGAGTAAGTAATTTGCCTGAGTTCTTATAGAAAGTAACTCTGTAAGACTCAGTCTAGGCTTTTACCCTCATCCAACACAGCCTTTCTGATAACAGCAATAGTTATTGTAGGAGGTTGTACCATTGTTCCAATTATTCACTCCCCCTTCCTATAAGAGAGTTAAATATACTCATTCATTGCCATGAGACCTGCAGTGCCTTTGATCATGTGACTTACTTTGGCCAATGGAATGTGTCAGTCTACCAAGTTCCCACAAAGCTTAAAGAGACATCATGTACTTCCTCCAATTCTTTCATATCTCTCTCTCTTCTATGAAAAAATAGGTTCCATACAGATGCTGACTTCCAGCTATTGACATGTAACAGGGGACGGAATAAAGGTTTGTTGTCCCAACCCACTGAAATGTAGGGGTTACTTGTTACTGCAGCACAGCTGATTAATACTGTCACCACCTCCTCAGTGCACTGTCAGTTTAAATGATTTCTTGGATCTTGCAATTGTAATACATTGCTCTTTAGAATTCAGAAGGGTAATTTGAATGTATCTAAATAAACCAAGAATCTTCATGTTTTATCAGAAAAATATCATTACCCTCACTTTATTTTTTTTTCATTACCCTCACTTTCAGATTAAGTGACTTAGCTAAAAATCACAGAATTTGTATTGCAAACCCATTCCTAACCCTTGTCTGTGTGATTGCAAGGCACAGGTCTTTCTCATGATAGTTCATTGCATCCTCTTCCAGAAGAGAGAATATCTCAGAAGACCCACATAACCTACAGAGAGTTTGTGACACTGAAGCTTGGGAACTGAAGCTTGGAAATACCCCTAACTTGCTGGATGTGTCACAGCATTTGTTCCCTTTACTAATCTAAGACACTATAATTGTAAGTTATATTACATTGTTTAGAAAGAACTATCATTTCTAGCTGTACCTGGTTATGCTTTATAGACCTATATGCCACCATGAGAAAACTACTCTATATTTGATCAATATTAATCATTTTTATTTATGGAGTTGGTTTATTCAAGTACACACTCATTACCCCTGTGAATTCTGAAAGGCAAAGTATGACACTTTGAAGATTGCAAACTCCAATTCCACTTGATGTTTCAAAGTTATGGAGGTGAAATGTAGCTTG